CTTGATACCGACAAACCAGGAAGTAATCAGTGTGAATACGTCGCCTACAAATGGCACTTTGTGGGGTTGGCTAAACACAACAATCTGTCATTCATATTGTTTTGAAAAAGAAACATAAAATAACCTCAGAGTTTAACTGGTGATACTCCCACGCGTAAGCATACCGCGAATACAGCAATAAGCAAATAACAGTGCCTATTCAAAACAGGCGAAAGTTAATTAACAGTATAGAAAATGTTCTAGTCTTCATTATTATTTTCCCACATATTGTTATTACTCTGATGTGACCTGAGGGTTGTCAGACTGACAGACAAAGCGTCCAGTTTACATCAAAAGCAGAGTCCACTCCACTAGTGGCACCTGTGGGGAAGTGCCATTGCCTAAACAATATTAACATGTGACACACCTACACCTGAATTCCTAGAGCTTCCTGCTTTAGCAGGTATCGCTTATCAATAAGCAAGCTGCTGAAAGTAGTTTTTATTTGAGCAACGTATTCATAGTCTTGCTGAGATATATTTGCTTATGTGTGTTCTCCTATAATCACATTCGATCTTTTTCTTGTGTTCATCTAAGACAACCAACAGCAACATGAACTGTAATGAGGGGAAGGGTCTGGATGTCCAGCAGGTCTGTAACCAGGAGAGTAACTCCACATTGGACCCACAGGACCCAGAGCATCCACAGATTAAAGAGGGAGAGCAGCTTGTAGTGAAGCAGGAGGCCGAGGGCATCATCATCTGGACTGGAGAAGAGCGGCTCAGACTGCTGGATACCATCTGGAAACCTGAAATAACAACATACAGTAAAGGTATGCTAAACTGCCCTTAAAAATAATGAAGTAACATTTCTTTTTCTTAGCATAGCAGGAATCTGCAATAAGTAAAATTAATGCACCTCTGCAGACTGCAGTGTAAATGGTGGCTTGGTGGCTCTTTGACAGCAACTTTGACATGCAGCAGTGGCTTCACTGTTCTTATACACAAAACAAACAATTATCCACACAAACTACATATCAACACACTAACTACACTCCAAACATGCTACACATCACAAATCTCTCACATCTCAAAACTCAATCTCTCTCTTCCTACCACTGACCTTAGACAGTAAATGTGACGATAGTATTCCGGAAAAAATTATGGCGTATATTTTTTATTTATCACTTTTTTAAAAATTTTTTTTATCACATTTACCACTTTTAACACAAAAATGGACACTCAGGGTTGTTTTGGGTTGAAATAGCATCTTGTTGCTATGTGTCATCTTAAATTGGTCAGGTGATTGGTTTACCATGGCTACTTTATTCCTCCTCAGCCAATCAGCAGCACCCGTGTGATTGTCCCCCCCTGTCCAGCTCCCGGTAAGATGAAGCCCCCCCAGCTCCTGGTTAAATGAAAAATAGTAACGTGTCCGCACCACATTTTCTTATTAGTAACTGTAACAGCGTTGTAAACTTAGAAATAGTAATTAGTTATAGCACTAGTTACTGACAAAAGTAACAGCGTTAGTAACATTGTTACTTTTAACGTCATTATTCCCATCATTGCATTTTAAGGATGCAAAAAAATGTTAATTCATGTGAAAAAAATTCACCAGAATGCAAGAAGTGAAGTGTCTGCACCCCTACAGAGACACAAATCCAACAGCAGAAGTTTCTTTTTTTTGTCATCAGTTTAAGTTAAAGATTAAGTTTTTTTCTCTGTAGAATGGAAATGTGTGAAATTTAATTTGATCAATTCCCAGGATTAATTAATGGATTAATTTTTAGATTCAGTTTTCATAATATACAATTCAGAATTTCTAAAGTTGAAGTTGATCATATAAGAAGAGTTTTTTTCATGGTGTTTGGACGTGTGCAGTCAAAGTGTTTACCACGATATAAGAGGTCAGAGCCAGCAAAGCAGCTGTACCTTATAACTCCATTCCCAAACTAAATTAAATTGGAAGAAAACCAATATCTTTAAAATTCATACATATTTAGTATCACAAACATCCAAATACTCAACAATTTGCTTCAGTGTCCAAATAATTTGTCACATTTGTACACTCTAAATTTCAGTAGTACATGTGAGCAACCTGTTCATAGTTCACAACCATTAAAGTACTGCTAATTGTTAAAATTAGAATATATTTTTGTCCACTTGTCCCTTCAGATCTTGTGCAACAGTGTGTCTTTAAGCAAGAGGATCTGCATGACCAGCAGGTGTGTAACCAGGAGAGGAATTCCAGTTTGAACCACGAGGACCCAGAACTCCCATGGATTAAAGAGGAACCAGAGGAACTTTGCACCAGTGAGGAAGGAGAACAGCTTTTATTGAAGGAGGAGACTGATACCTTTATGGTGACTTTTGATGAAAGTGAACATGAACCAAACAGAGACCAGCTCCTTTCTCACAACTCTCCTGCACCAGAGAGCCAGCATCAAGGAGAAAATGAGCATGTGGAATCAGAATCTACTAGAAAACCAGAGCTGAAGAACAGTAACAGTGTAAACAACTCTCCAGTGCCAGAGAATCAGTGTAAAACTGGCAAAAGTAAAAAGTCTCTAAATTGTGACACTTGTGGAAAGACTTTTCAGTACGAATGTCACTTGACAAAACATGTAAGAATTCACACAGGTGAGAAGCCTTTTTTTTGTAGCACCTGTGGGAAATGTTTTGGTCAGAAATCAGGACTGGAAACTCACATGAAAATTCACACAGGTGAGAAGCCACATTTTTGCAGTATCTGTGGAAAAGGATTCAGTCAGATGATAAACCTGAAAACTCATATGAGAGTCCACACAGGTGAAAAGCCATATTGTTGTAGCACATGTGGAAAAACCTTTAGTGCCTTGTCAGCCTTCAAAACCCACATTAGAATTCACACAGGTGAGAAGCCATATTGTTGTAAGACTTGTGGGAAACGATTCACTCAGAAATCTGGACTGGAACATCATATGAAAATTCACACAGGTGAGAAGCCACATTCTTGCATTACCTGTGGGAAAAGCTTCAGTCGTATGAAGTCCTTGAAAACTCACATGCGAATTCATACAGGTGAGAAGCCACATTCTTGCATTACCTGTGGAAAAAGTTTCAGTCATATGATGAACTTGAAAACCCACATGAGAATTCATACCGGTGAGAAGCCATATTCTTGTAGCACCTGTGGGAAAAGATTTAGCGATTTATCAGGATTCAAAAAACATAAAATGATTCATACAGGTGAGAAGCCCCACCCTTGTAACACCTGTGGAAAGAGATTCAGTGACATGACGAATTTGAAAGCTCACATTAGAATTCACACAGGTGAGAAGCCATATTGTTGTAACACTTGTGGGAAACGATTCAGTCAGAAATCTGGAGTGAAAATTCATATGAAAATTCACACAGGTGAGAAGCCACATTCTTGCATTACCTGTGGGAAAAGCTTCAGTCATATGACGTCCTTGAAAACTCACATGAGAATTCACATGCCTGAGAAGCCACATTCCTGTGGCAATTGCGGGAAAAGTTTTGTTCAGCTGATACACTTGAAAAGGCACATGAGAATTCATACTAGTTAAGTTTTAAAATGTGGAATGTACTTTATTATAGAAAAACAAGAATGGATAAATAATTTATTGACACTTGTATTCT